ACGAATCAGAACAGTGTTTCATTTTTTATGATAAAAAGAAAATACTTAACCTTGATTGTTATTAGTAAGCTCTAAACATTAAATACACAATAAAAAATTCCAATTAGTTTACTGGGCCAGTAATTTTCTGTGATCTTTTTCTTGAAACATAAGAACATACTTTACTGTATCTGAGAACACCTAACAAACCAGTTTTTTTTATTTATTATTCTTAACTTTGTTTAATGCAAACTGGAGTTTATTATAAGACATTTCTATAAATTTAAATAAAATCACGATCTATATCTCCAGTTTTTTATTTATATTGGAGGAATGAATTTTAAGTTTGTGACAAGATTTTACCAATCACAAATATATATTTATATTCAATAAAAGTCATGATTCTAGTATTTCTTTGACAAATTCAGTATTTGAAGACTTTTAAAATTCAGTTATGAATTTCAAAAAGCAACAAATAATGATAGATTATCAGCAGCATTTTTTGAATCATGAATGAAATAGCTACAAACTTTTAAAAATATTATTGATAGTAAAAAAGTAAAGTATATATATGTATAAACAAAAACAAATACAAAAAAGTACACATGACAAATCTCAAGGTAACAAACTTATTAAAAAGACACTTTATTGAACATAATGTAATCCTTAAAATATCGAAAATCCAATATTATTTTGATAATTACTTACAGCCTTTTCTAAAAATGTCAGTAAAGAATTTTCAAAAACTTTTATACATATATTTATCAAACAATATATATACTGTTATAAGCCTTATTTTCATTAATTTTAATATTTAATAGAGGGAGCTGCTCATCACGATGATGCAAAATATTTAGAAAATATATTAAAATGTAATAATGAAGAAGGTTCTTAAAAGCATACAATATAAATATGAGTAATCAATAATGAATAGTTATTCAGTGAAGTATTCAACAAAAGATACAGTTCAGTGTCAGGAAAGCTATTCATTGTTGCAAGTGAGTATCTATTTTACAGTTTTCGAGTTTATCAATATAAGCTAAGTAAGTTAGGTTTACTATCACTAATCTCAGAATTTCTGTTCAAATGTATTTGAAGTTAAGCTCATAAATAAATGTATGCTGTAGCAAATGTTATTGAAGTAATTAATTCGTTATCATTCATGGTTTGGACATTATTTTTATCAAGTAATCCAAAAAAACCTGCTCAAAGATAGAATACATTACAACACTACATATAAATCAACATTCAAACAGGAAGATTATGGCACATAAGATTGAAAAAATTTATTATTTACTGATATCTAAGTTTCAAATATTTTGTAGTAAAGTCCTTGATAACCTAAATTAGGGGGCATAATTTAATCAAAAGAACTGCTGCCTCTGTGATAAGGTTGTTAATTAAATGAGACCTGAGAAACAATGCAGGAAATTATTTGATTTTAAAAATAATTTTCAAATCACACAAAATATAGCCCCTGTCCTATTCTGTATAACTTCTCTGCGAGTAGTTTCTGTTTCAACCAACAAACAGATGCTATATCTCTGATGTGTACCCATATGCTGAGAAGTTAGAATATTTACCTCAATTTCAAATTGGTGAGCAAGAGCAAAGGAAAGCAGTTTAAGAATGGAGTTGATTTAGCTTTATTTATTGAAAGTTACAGACAAAAGGATTGCCCGTGAAAAATTGATGATCCAGCTCATAATGATAAAAATAAGAGGATGACTGTGCATAAGGAACTGGCTGGTGAAACTATGATTGCCTAAGCACTACTGGCTACTAGTTAGCCCAACATACAACTAGCTTGCTGTGTTGAAGTCAGAGTTGAAGTTTGGAAATTAAACTTGTAGGGATGATGTACAGTTTCTAAGCAAAAATCTATCCATATTTCATGTCCATACCTAATAATTACTGCAGATTCCTTCAGACTGACCTTGTCCTTGATCAGTAATGTTGTCAGTCTATGAAATGATATACAGGCATTCAATGGGTAAATCACCTTCTACCAGTGAAATGAGTATAATTCAAGTTTTAAACTATTTTTATCATAGCTTGTCATTCACTTTAAGAATGAATATAGCTTTAAAATTATACCAACAAATGAAATAAAAATATATGTTGAAATATATTTAGAACTAGATTTTCTAATTCTTGAAAGCAATGAGTTTTTTGTGTTTTATCACCAAAACCAACTAGACTTATTCTGTTTAATTACATGATTTAATTTTCGTTTATCTGACAGCTGATGAGGAAAATTTTATTTCAGATATTGTTTTGAAAATACCTGGTTATATTTTTATGTTATGGGAAGAGTTTGTAATATAATTTTAATAATTGTTTGTTTGTTTGTAATTAAGCACAAAGCTACACAAGGGGCTATCTGTGCTCTGCCCACCAAGGGTATCAAAACCCGGATTCTAGCGTTGTAAGTACGCAAATATACCGCTATGCCACTGAATCATGAATTATATATATATGAAATGGAGAGATTCTAAAAGAAATAAACTACTACAGTTATTGTCCTTAAAGTACCCTAACTTCAAAATTGTTCAAAAATGCTTCAATTAAAAATCAGCATTATAAAGGTATTAAAAAAAAGTACCAAGAAATACAAAAAACATACCTTACAATAACGTATGAAAAAATTATGCTATAATATTTGTATCTAACATTTGTTTCAGAGGATGCCATCATAAAATTATATAGAAATTTATGAACATACTATAAAAGACTTGGTATTTGTATAATGTATTTGGCAGGGGTGATAATTATATTTCTTAGTGGCAATATTTTGAAGTTTTTAGAGGATTCTTAAGGAAACACACTATATTTAAAACATTTGAATCCAATCTTGTAAGTATGTAACTACAAACTCAAATATACATAATATATCAGTTTTATGAAAATGGAATCCAATAGCATAGTTTTTGGCTGTAATTCTTAAAACAGGATGAATATAATTTACCTAAATCAAAGTCTACATTTCTTTGAGTTTAAACCATATTTTGGTTTTCTTTGAAGTCATGTTGTTGATCAGAGTATTTTAAATGCTTTGTTTATTTGATTGTCAGATACAAGTGGTTTTCAAATCCACAAATATACTATGAATAAGGTGAATAACACTTCTTTAGAGAGAAAATAGAGAAAGCCATTTTTGGTTAATCATGTGGATGTTGAGTTTTGTTAACAATACTGATAAAAAAAATTATAACAGTTTATTTTATTAGACACTGCTGTGATACCTGACCTTCATTTGGAAAATATTTAAGGAAATTTTTTCATATCCTTTGGTTCATGTGAGCTATGATAACTTGACTAATGGGCGATACTGATAAGACTATTAGGAAACTCGTTCAGGTAGCCATACACCTGGTGCTAACTCAAGTGTCTCTAGGTTTTCCTGGTCAACATCTGTTTCCAGAATGTATGCCTCATTACTCATGGCACCCATTCTTAGATAACTATGTACAACACAAGCAGTCAGTACAATTGATTCTGCTGTACATGATTTAACTACCATTTGAGAGTAAACATTTGGAACCTTGAGGCAAGAACTCCAAACGAATAATCTACAATTTATCTTGACCTGAGAAGGAGATAATTGAAAATATTTCTCTCTGTTCAGATTCTTTGCAGTATAAATCTTCAATAAGTATGGTTTTAAGAGGATATCTCATCACCAACCAACGTGAATGGCAGCTGAAAATCATTGTTATCTGAAATACCCAATGTTCCAGTTTTAGTGACTTACATTCAAAATTTTATCAATCTACTTTTTGTTTGTGTTATACCAATTAGTATAGTATAAAATTTTAGCTAATAATCCATATTTTAATAGTACATAAATTTTAAGTTCTAAATTTTATAAAGCAATATTTTAAAAAATCCTGAATTTCTCCTAGTGTCATACATTTTCTCTAGGCATCTTCTCTTCTCTATTTTATTCATCACCCCCCCCCTCCAATAACTACGAAATTTAACATAAATTACTCACTATAAAATTGTCATATATATAATTATATATATATATATATATATTGCTCAGATAAGACCCCTCTTGCCACACCCACCTGTCACTTCCTCTCTAACTGGAACGACTTACTTAAAAACTTAAACATAGCCAATAAAGCTATTCAAGAACCTGGAACTGAATTGGTCACAGTCTTGAAATTGTATGACAATCTCTGGCATACTTCTCAGAGATCCGTGACAAATTTAACAGTTTTGAAAAAACAACCAAGGAATTTTCTGAAAGTGACTACAAAGATGTGGACTGAATGCAAATGCATGAGGAAACATTTTTTTGATGAAGGAGCCAGGGATGACACAGTCTCAACCATGAGTGCGAGTGACAGATTTCAAACACAAACATTTTTATCTTATTGTAGACAAACTCACTGTTGAGATGGGTAGACGTCGAGAAGCATATTCCATGTTGTACAACAAATTTGGCTTCCTGGTTGACAAATCACTGTCCCGGGATGCATGTATCTTGAAAGCCAGGAATCTGGTAAAGACTTATTCCAGTGATTTGGAAGAATCCTTTGTTGATGAATTTTTGTTATTCTCAAACATGTACCAGGAAAAGAAAGCTGTTAATGAAATTCTGAAGCAACTAATCAACAATGGACTAATAACCAGTTTTCCTAATGTCCACATTGCTTTTAGAATTTATCTTACACTGTTTGCAACAAGTCGTGAAAGCGAGTGGTCCTTCTCCAAACTTAAGAAAATTAAAAACTGTTTAAGATCAACTATGAGCCAAGACCGGCTCTCTTCTCTTTCCTTACTTTCAATTGAGAGTGAACTGCTTTGAAAGATGGACACTGATGACATTATCAGAAATTTTGCACTGAAAAAATCCTGTAAAGTTTACATTTGATTTATTTTGATATACATTTTGATATATTGTATGTGAGCAATTTTGTTTAATGTTTGAAAAAAAACCTCTCATTGTTTCATTTTCTTCTATTAAAATAAAATATAATTCTATTTTATATTTTTTATACTTATTTTTATAATTTTATAATATTTAAATTTCTTAAATGATTTGAAATATACTTTTCGTAGGCCCCATATTTTCGTAGGCATTATGCCTATTGTGCCTAATGGATAATACGACTGATTGTGTGGCATTACAATTTGAGATGGAATGACTTGGTACAAGCAGAATCTAGTAGTTCAAGTAAAAAGAAATTCTGTGTAAATAAATATTTACATTGGAAAATCCTGTAACACCTATGTATTTAATGTCTTAAAGACAGGGTAATCAAACCTCTTTCAATTTAAGGTGCTAATCAAGTACTAAATAATGTGTGTTTGGCTGTATAAATAGACAAGCAAAAATTTAACACAACAAATACCACACCTTAAATACTCATTCCACTGTAACATACACAAAATTTTGTTATCATAATCAAAAGTGTATACAATCATTCAAATCTAATTAGCTTCTAAGTCAACTTAGTACAGAATCTGGTGAAACAAAGATACCCCTCTAAAACCATAAAGTAGTTAATTAAAATTTTAATAGAGTGAGAACACAGGTGAGTGTATAGCACATTTATCTAACAAGAAGACACACAACTGATTCATAGCATCCACATATAGTTTTAAGGGGCATAGCTAGGCATAAATTTGAGTTACACAATGGGGGCACTCCCTCTCCTGAGAAAGTTATTAAATTTAAACCTGAAATGGCACATTCTAATGACCTTTTTTGCATGTATAATTTACAAAAATGAACCATACAGGCAACATAAAGTATTGTACAAATTTACATTTTGATCACTGGCATATCAACGTACTTATATCTTAGTTTACCATTGTAAGATATAAAATTAGGCATTTACTATTTTAAAATAGACTAGAACATTTCATACAACTAGAAGTACTCACACAATAGCTACAGTTTCGAGGAAAATGGAATACACGTGTACAAATGGCCCATTATTAAAATAAATAATTATCTACAATGTAACAAACATTAACATCCATTATTCAATGCCATGTATAGTTCTCTGGTGGTTCTTAAGATGACCTAAGAGCATACAACCTTTATTGCACTGTGAACATCTATACGGGTAATTGTGAGTATGAACAGCCATTACATGTTTTTCAAGGTTACCAGACCATGTAAATCTGAGCTCACAGTGAGGACAATGGTATGGTCTTTGATCACCATGAATTTTCACATGTACTGCTAGCTCAGAAGAAACAGTAAAAGACTCCCCACAAGTGTCACAACTGTATCGTTTTCCTTGAGAGTGTATCTTCTTGTGTGTTTTCATATTCTGGGAAATGTTGAATGTTTTTCCACATATGTCACACTGGAAAGGTTTCTGTCCACCATGGATTACCTGATGCCTCTTTAAAGTTCCACCTTGTGTAAACTTCTTCCCACAGATCTTACAATTATATGGTTTTTCTCCAGTGTGAAATAAATTATGCTGTTGTAAGTCTCTTTTCTGCGTAAATCTCTTTTCACATATATTACACTTGTAAGGTCGTTCTCCTGTGTGTGTTAACAAATGTCTACGAAGATTTGTTGACACATTTGTGGAAAATTCACATTCTTTACAATGGTACTTTTTGCTTGCTTCATTTTGGCTGATTCTTTTCCTATGTGCCATCAAAGCTTGAAATGGAAAACTCCAGTTTCTATGTACTTTGGATGACTGAGACACAGAATCTGCAGATTGGGGTACGGGAAAAAAACCCAACAAAAACAGAAGTTTCTTAAATACTACCTCTACCTTTTTATTTCAGTTTTCTCATTCTTAAACTGCCTGAAAGTACAAAACAAATAGTTTCTAGTTCTTTAACCTTCCTACCATTGACATACTTTCATTAATGACATTTTGTATTGAAGTTTATAATCTATAAACCATTGTTAAATTTCTATTACATGTAATTATAAGCCAATCCAGAAAAGTCTATACTAAATTAATAAGAGTTCTTTTTTACAGAAATGTTTAGTATTATTTATTTTTAATGCTAATTAAAAAAATTAAAAAATTGTTATTTACACATTTATCAGTGATTTTGATTTTTAAGTTACTGTAAGTTGTGGAGAATAAATTAACTGTACATACTTCTAACACTTTTGATTGAGAAGTTACTAAGAAGTATTAAAAAAGTTGATTTGAAGTATTTTTAAGGGATCTTGATATATAAGTTCCTGATTAGAATAGAAAAGTGGTGTTCTTACTATTTTCATTTCTATGATTTAGATAAGCATGTAGAAGTGATAATTCATAAGTATTTTCCAAAATATATATATTCAATATAAATTAAACATGTTCACATGCAGTTTTTAATCATAAGATACATTTCAGAACAAGAAAAACTGGATTTTGTTTTGTTACAGAACTCTCTCTACCTGATATTTCTAATTCAGAATCCACTTCTTTCATTGACAGTCTTGTGTCATCTTCTTTCAAACAGCAATTTTCTTGTTCAATAATCTCACAATCATAATTTTCATTGACTTGTAAAATAATGTCACATTCTACCACCTCACAGGATGACTCTTGTTTTATTTTGGCATTATTGTACTGTAAGAAAAAAAAAGTGTGTGTGTATATATATATATATATATATATATATTACTTCTGGTTACTAAATTTCCATAACAAGATT